CCCCAAAACCCCAAAACCCCAAAACCCCAAAACCCCAAAACCCCAAAACCCCTTTAATATCTTCACAAATTGAATTCTTTAATCTAGATTGAGCTTAGTCTAACTCAGGAGGAAAGAATTTCTCAGTCTTGTTCTCCAGCACACCCCAGAACTTCTTCTCCAGGTTTTCTATATCTACTAACTCAAAGAGATCCTTGATGTAATCATCACTATAAATCTTGATCTTGTTCTCAGTGAAAGAGTCGATGAAACCAGAGATTACAGTCCAAATTGTCCGCAACAAGAATCCGACATTTATTGCAAACAATTTGTATAGCCTTCCTGGGTAGTTTTGCTGAAAGACACCCAAGATTATTTGGAGCTTGGACACAGGAATCTGGGTCAAACCAATATCATTTCAGTCTACGATGACAATCCAATTTTCTATCTTGCCTGGAACCAAGTGGTTCTGGATTACGTTTTCGATGATCATTAAGGTGTAAGGCAGAAAATCTTTCTCATCAATTTCTATTGGATTAGATAAAACCTACCGTTTATTAGGGTTGCCATGTCGATGATCAGGATTGGCCTCATCCTCTTATCTCTCTTATAGAAGTACATTAAGCCTACATCGTAGTACTTCTTGAGCAGTTCTTCATCAACAGGGAGGTTTACCTTGAAGAATTCGTGATGAGCCATGATGCCATTGTAAGTATTTTGGTTATCAAATTTGTCTAAAAGTTACTATGAGTAGTACATGATTGGAGAAATCTATAAGTTCAAATTAGCGCCAACATACCGAAACATCTCCCTGTAATCATAATTTTCTGGGATATCAAGGTCGCTATCCTTAAGCCACTGCTGGAAAACCAGGATTTGGTCCATTTCTTTTTGAGAGAAAGCTACTGTCCCTCTATACAGCATTTAGCTCAATGAATACCCAAATATAAGCCTTTGCTTATGTTCTCCAAATTTTAGGATTAAGTCTTCCTGCTCAGGCTCAAATTGATCTTGTCTGATTTTCCCATCTTGGGCTTGTTCCTATACATAAGGTGATCTTATAATCCATAAGATTAAGTACCTTCTCTTCCTCTCCTTCCTTCAGTACCTGTTCTTTCTCTTCTAATTCAGGGGCTAAATTTTCCTCCATGAAAAATAATTCTATTTCTCATCCAAACCCCGGGGTTTTGGGGTTTTGGGGTTTTGGGGTTTTGGGG